TAGACTTGAATAAGTGGATTTGAGGACATCTGGACGTTGGAATTTTAGTAAGCAGGACAAAAATTTGCCGATATGACATGACAACACATCACAATGGCGCTGTAACACGAGATAATCGTACATCGACAGAAAAGTTTTCACCTACCGTACTTCTTCAACTTCAACCCACATGATATTTTTCACTTTCTACTATTTTAAAGATCTCATATACTCATTTATTTAGTATCTTTATACACCCAGAGTTCGAAGTGGATATCTTTCCACACATAAGTTGAATGCAGTTCGGCTGACGTGGTTTAGTTCCAAGTCATTTCCTTTCCGGCTGTTTATTTCGTCGCGAAAACCTTGTCATACTTTTTTGTTCTCATTTGATGTGTTGGCTTGTATATACCATGTGCTACCCCATTGTATTTATTGTTTACAAATAATAATGTGCAAAAAAACCGAGAGACTATTGTCGGGTCGGTAGTCGGTACTAAGTACCCCTGTTATACTTGTACGTTAAAATTCGATACCTAAAGACAACGCGCCATAATAATGTAGTAAGCCACTGAAGTTATCTTTATAAGTGTAACAATACCACATATGCATGCTTAGGTTCAGTAAAGTAGTTGTTTGTAGAAGGACTAAGGGTTCACTAAAATGTTTACAAATAGAGTGCAGTTTCCAACACTTACTCTCAAAACACTCCGCCATTGTTACAGACTTAAATAACGTGTTTAAATTTACTTCATAAATTTACTTCACAATCTGCGATCCTTCGACCTACACCTTTTTGGATACTATTTGTCATCCTTTCGACCTGCAACCTATTCAACTGTTTCTCGAATATTATTGAAGCAACTAAAATTTAATTAGTTCTTGCATTGAATTCATCTAGTGCTGACTACATGCTGCGTAAGTAACAGATCTAGAATCGTGTCGTGATATCTCGCTGATTTATTGTAATGTCCAACACACCTTCTCAACTTTTGACGTCTCTACAAAAATATGAAACTTCCGAGGTTGCAGCTTTCGATAACTTGCACACAAATTTCTTCACGACGAAATCATTTGTTTTCATTATTCCGCATGACCAGTCATCACACTCAACCTACGGACCCCAGCACCTCTTGCAGTCGAATCATTTTCCTCGCTTTCATCCTCTACAAATATCTCCAAACTTTTGAATACTGCATGAGAATTTGATATTCTTTATAAATATCGAAGAATGCTGGTCGAGCCGATTCTCCTTGCAATCTTGGAAATAACAGAGCTAACGCCTTTCCAGGTACACTGGAGGAGAGCGTTGGATGGTCGAACTAACGCCTTGCCGTTATCCCGCACCATGAAATTATGATTTTCTAAACCCCATTTCTTTTCGCTTGTTTCGTCGAGGTTGTTACCTCTGGAATTGAGGTGACTGAATAATGAAATTTTGGCGAGCAGCACACAAAGCACAATTTCCCAACTTAAATAATTCTCATCATCATTGATTCTCGAGTAACTCGAGCAGACAGCATAATGCTTTCATCTATCCTCGCCGCATGCAAGAGTAGCCCAGTGGGGTCCTGGTCGTTGAACGGAATCGTTGGGCACTATATTTTTCTAGGTTGTTGGTGATTAACTCCTGTAATGGGGTCAGTGGGATTTCCTGCCGTGTCCTCAGGATCTTCTGGGACTCAATTGATAACGGATCTTGTCCATCGGTTGTCATTCAGACGCATCAAGTCTGTGGTCCCTTTGATTTGCGATATTTTAGAGCACACAACGGCATCTTTGATTGCTGATCGTCCATAAAGATCGGAGCTTCACATTCCGCCTCCCACTTTCGTAATCAGGACTACTCCCGGTACCGTCCTTTTCGAATGCGCTTATGTACCAACTAAACACGTGGCTTAAGGCAGGAAGAATCGTAGAGTCGGAAAGGTGAGCGCATAGTCGGACGCTCTTTGCCACATTCACTACATCCTCGATGCTCTTAAAAGACCTTAAGCAGATTTTTATTCGAGATACGTGAGATTGAGCGATCTCTCGTATGCTCGCGATACTTCAATGAATCTCGTTGTCGAGGGTCTGGCAGCTCTTTTAGGAAACCCTGCCTACTCATACGGTTGTCCTTCGTCAAATATTCTTCAACTTGCTGAGTACGGCTCTGTTGACAAGTTTGTAGACAACTGATAGCAGAAAAACCGAGAGTGACTTACAAATGATGGTCTTTGCCGTCATAACTGATTCAGAGTGCTGCTTATCCTGTTCATTCCAAGCAATCCATTGGTCTCTATGTGACTCTCATCAGACGTTCTCTCGGTTCCACTCTTAGCAATGGAAATTGATAGTGATAACATTAAAGAAGGATCTTTCTTTGCAGAACTCCCCCGAGCCTATAGCGAATGCCTCGACCTCGTTTTCTTCATAGCGTAATGTAGATGAGTAGACGACGATGATTGTCAAAGTAGGTCAAGGTCGATGTTTCCTTCATCGTAATCATCCGGTTCGTGTTGTTAGTTGTTTAACGGAATCGATGTTCATGGTCCAACTAGCGCTGATGAATCGCGCAGGAAAAAAAAAGCAACGACTCCTCTACTGTCGCATGTAACGATGGAGTTTTCCCTTTCTTTTCACGATTTCAGTTATCAGACGAAAACATCTTGGGCCATGTGTTAGGTACATAAAAATAAACCTTACCAGCCATTGACTATTATTTCATTCCCAGTAACCGTGATGAATCAAGGTTATCGTATAAGATAAGCGGATAAGAAGAGGTACAGAAATTCACTCTACAAATGTTCTAAAGCAAGCTACACATACTGCCTGTCACATGTAGGATGTAGGAGCAGCACAGTGGGTTTTGCTCGCTCTAGCGACTCGTCGAACATCATATCTTTTTCTAGTGTGAAGGACTCTGACCATCGAGTTGGTGGTCTTCCTGCAGTGCGTTTGACATCCCGAGGAATCCAGTCACTAACAGCTCTTGTCCATCGGTTGTCATTCATACGCATTACGTATACGACCAACCTTATCTCCGACTGTTTGGCGTACAGAATGGACGGCAATCTTTGATTTTTGACTGTTGACGCGGAGCTTCGGATCTATTCCTTTATTTGTGTGACACGGCATACTCATAGCATCATCCCTTCGACTGCGCGTTCAATTACGCCGAGTGATTTTTCGTCCTGTTAACGTAGCAACCAGGTTTCTGACGCATAAGTTAACGAAGGAAGTACTGTTGAGTCGAAGTGGTGAATACGGAGTTGAGTATTCTCTTCACTGCTTCTTCTATGCTCTTGAAAGCTCCCCGAGCAGCTCGCTTTCTTCTGCTCAGCTCTGGAGCTCATTCGTCCATCATATTGATTTTCCGACTTAGGTAAACATAAGTGGAGCATTCGGAGATATTCGCTCCGTTGGGCTTGAATAAGGCATACGAAACCAATCCGTTCGTCATAAACATTGTTTTTGTGAGATTTAGTCTAAGACCAATCTTTCTACAGGCTTTGTCAAAGTAGGTAAGCATTCGTTCTGCTTGGCTAGTGTTTGGTGTTATAAGGACGATGCCATCAGCAAAGCTAAAATGGTGTAACTGCCGACCATCGATTTTCACTCCAATAATGTGCAATTCCAATGTTCGGATGACATTCTCGAGGGTGGCGGTAAATAATTTTGGCGAGATGGTATCGTCTTGCCTAACCCCTTTTCCAAAGTCGATGTTAATATCGTTGTAGAATGGTGACATCTTGGTTGTGAAATTTTTGTACAGCTTACGATGAATCTTTATGTATTGAGTAGGGACTCCCTGACTATCAAGGGCTTCCGTAACTGGTTCTAGCTCAATTGAGTCAAAGGCCTTCTTCAAATCGATGAAAGTGCGACAGAGCGGTCTTTTGTACTCTCGTAATTCTTCAACCAGTCTTGTTATCGTGTGGTTATGATCCATTGTACTGATTCCTTTTTGAAACCCTGCCTGCTCACATAGCTGCCCTTCGTCCAGTGTTCTGTCAATCCTATTTAGGATTACTCGAGTGGAAAGTTTGTAAACAACAGACAGCAAGCAGATTGGGCTAAAGTTGCCGATATCGTGTAGGTCACCTTTCTTAAACAACAACACGGTCATGCTGGTCTTCCACTGAGTAGGGACCTTACATTCGGACAGTTAACTTGTAAAGAGCCCAGCCAGTGTGTTTGCGAGAACTGGCGGAAGGTTCTTCAGGTGTTCTGGTTTTATCTTGTCCGCACCCGGTGCAGTTCGATTTTTCACCGGCGAAATGGTATGTTGGATTTCGGAAGGGATACCCGGTGGAGCAACATACCCCTCCTCCTTTATTTCGCATGTCGGAAGGTGGATGTGGCTATCGAAAAGATCCGAGTAGTATTCATGAATGATTTTCTCCATTGGCTTTCTGCACGCTGTAACTGTTCCGTCTGGTCGCCGGAGTGCAATCATCTTGGTCTTGTAATTGTAATTGACGAAGCTTCGGTGGGCTTTGCGAATGCTTTTCCCAGCCCCTGCAGCTTCGGTCTTTACTGCTGCTCTTCTCTCTTTAGGTTCTTCTTTTATTGCCTGTTTGCATTGTTTTGCAAGTTCGGACATTAGTTCGCGGTTGCCTGCAGTTCGTGCGATTCTACGCTGGTGTATCAGCTCGAAAGTTTCTGGAGGCAGACGTCTCTTGGTGACTTTTGAACTCTCAGCTTTCGTAACATGCGCTAACGTGAAGATGTTGAATGAGCAGATCGCATTCTTCGTCGATGTTGTCGAGAACAGCATCTTCCCAACAGTCGAGTCGAGTCGTTTTGAATAAGTCCCAGTATTTCTCCTTTCCGCGAGAAATAGAATCTTAAACATCAGAAGCAATGGTCCGGTCCCGTGTAGAATTTTGGGACGACAGCGACATCAGTAAGGCATAATCTTCTATTTGCTGTGATATGGTTTATTTCCTTATGGTACTCTCCAATGGGAGACTTTCATGTGCAGCGTTGAGAGTAGGGTTTCTGGAATTGCGAGTTATCATGGATAGTCTTGGTCCTCATGATAAACATAAACCCCGTTCACCCTTTTCGTTCCATTCTAATCCGTAGATCCCAATGTGACGTTTTTCAGACGCTCTTCTTGGTCCAATCTTGGCGTCAAAATCTCCAATGATGACCATGAAGAATGTATGATCTCCTCTGCAGAACTTCTCCAAGTCTATATAGAACGCTTCGACTTCTTCTTCGTAATAGTTTGATGCCGGCGCGTAAACAACGAAGATTGTCAAAGCCGGAATTGATCCACGTCTTCTTAATCGTGAACGTCCGATTCGCATTGTAGGTTGTTCGAATGATTCGATGTTCATGGGCAAACTCGTGTTGACGAGAACGCCGACGCCGCCGACTCCTCTGCTGCTGCGTGTTCCGAGGAACGGTCCTTCTCCAGTGTCATAGACTACGTTGAATGGGTTGTGTCGTCTCGTCTCGGCCAGATCAATGACGTCATACCCTATCTTTTTCGTTTGCATGAACAAGTCTTCTATCGAGGACTCGGATGCAAGTGTACGTGCACTGTAGGTACAGATGGTCACCATAGTTCTTTTAAATCCAGGCAGCTTCCATTGGCCCTGAGATTTTAGTAGCCTCTCAATACTCGTCCTACCCAACGCTGCCGAATTGGAGGCTCTTTCGGGGTCGGAGGAATGAGGCCCGTTTCTTATACTGTGTTCAGCATTTTGATACCCATGTATAGCTTGCTGGGCTGTGAAAATGGCGGCTAGGTATGCTCACGGGTAGCTTGCCAGTCTCTCCCAGAGGGGACGTGGAGCTTGTAGGCGACGATTCCTAACCGCCTCCCACATCCTTACCTGCCACTAGATCGCACGCTTTTGGCCGAACTGACTCGTGGAATCTAATCCACATAAACTTGAACGCACTCACACATTCGTTCATGAATACGCCTTGTAAATACAGAAAGTATGCGCCAAATCGGCGCAGAAGAAACAAAGAGTCCGTCCCTGGACCCACCTGCGTCTCAGGGAATCGCACAGTCGCTTTTTGGTCCGCGATTAACCTCTTGTCCGCCACTTGGGGACGCGCCACGTAGCCTCGCGACTAACTGGTTCGAGATCCCTCATATGGGTAACCTCCGTGGTTAGATGAGGTAGCAACACAGCTCCTATTGGGCCCTGAATATTAACGGCACAAATTACTGCACTGTAGAAAATCCCGAATGACCGACGTAAACTTTCGTCGTCATTCGATCAATGTTAAAACGAAAAGTGGAATTTGTTTGATCAGACTACCTAACACTATTTTGAGCGTGCTATAATAGAATAGAACATTCAGAGCGTTATCGTTCTACTTCAACCTCAAAGAGATCTGTTCATCCTTCAGTTACAGTGTACAATCTACAGTGTAATAGATTTATATAAAAACACGTATTCTTTCTCATATACAAGATTCCTACAATTTCGCAGAAAAATCACTGATTGCAGCTAGGAATGGTCAAATATCAAAAACTTTCATGCTAAAAAATAACACGATATAAATTTTGCGGAATCTATGGTTAAAAAATGACAAGTGTTGAAAATTAGTTTAATTAGTAACATAAAAAGGGTATCCTTCTATAAACAACCTCGTATATAACTTTTATATGGTTGCACCTGGTAAATTTAGAAAACCAACTAATGACAAACCCACTCAGGGCTCATCGTACCTATGCGCCACGTTCACAAACCAAACTGTTACGAGCGAAAGTTACTACAAAAATCTTTGGATAATTACAGTTTAAGTGGTAGACTTATCAATATGTTTGAACAGCAAACTGTAGTGCAAGAGTACCAAAGTTACCGGAGCAATCTCAAATGGTTACAATCTAACATCACTAGGCAGAAGTTGCAAAGATGTTAATGTAGATTTTCTCTACGAAGGTAACACAAGACTACATGTCCACCAAACTAAGAAAGAACGGTTGCTTATAGTACAAATCGATGGAATAATTCTCTGCTATCAACTATGCGTTTGCCACGACCCAGAGATAAAGATGATGCGTGCTATAAGGCGAGGTGGAATAGCGATCCCCAAGACGACTGATCCTATACCTGCTCTATTCCTAGTTAGGATACTAGCTGGGACTCTAGGGATATACCCAAACTATACCTCGACTTATAAACAGGGAATATAAACTAAATGCTAGTGAAAAAAAAGAAAACACGTGAAGCAGAGTACAGAATTAAATAAGAGAAACAGCAATACGAACGATAAATCGACCCAGATTTCACCATCCATTTGCATGGATCAACCTAGAGGATTGTTTAGGCAGAATTTAAGCAGAAGCTGGGCAGTAGACCTTGGCAAGGGAGTCGGCACCTGCCGACCCAATCAGTGGTCGAGATGGATGGAATGCTACGCAAGTTACCGATGCATCGTATTTTTTACGATGTGCTGATATTTCCTGAAAAGTGAAATTTCAACTTCTATGTTCCTATTTCAATGAGTGTATAAAAACTATACAGACAACTACTTATTTATTTAAAAAGCGGAAACCGCAGTGGTTAGAAAAGTCGTGGCCATGCAACACATGCGCTCGTTTGTACGACTTCATTACGGACTATCCAAGCCCCTCATGTCTCCGGTGTCGGTAAATCATACATCGGTAAGCCGCAACCGGATAAACATTAACAAAACATTCTAACACCTACCTGAAGACATACGCGCTTCTCCATGTTCCACATCCTCAGGCTGCCATCATGACTTCCAGACAAAAGGTAAAGTCCATTCGGGTCAATCGCTAATGAAGAAATTCCTTCAACATGCGCAACAGCACTGTGAGTAAGTCTTCCTAAAATGGATTACCATGCTAATTACATCCAAGATGTAATCTAGGAAGAATGTAACCTATAATTTAATTTTAAAACTTCTTCCTAAACAGACCTGTATTGTTATCGAAATAACGAATCTTGCGATCATCACCAGCAGTAATGGTCAAAGGCATAGTAGGATGTGAAAGGATCCGGGTTATACCACTTCCAGGTGTAACATCTTTAAAAAAACGCATAAAACTAAGATTTCAGTAATACTTGGTAGACCTACGAAAGCTAGAAACAAACGATGAAATCTGAACCAACCTTCACCAAAATCGAATGAAAGGATAGTGGAACCCGTTTCAATATCGATAATATTCGCTGCGGATGACGTATATGCAATAAGAAGCTGACTTGGCTCAGTGGACACGAAGTCAACAGATGTTGGAATAAGGCCTGCTGACGGAGCCTCTACAGAGCGGAGAAGAGTTTCACCAAAATTCCCTTAAAAATATGATTCCACCTTGGAGATAAAACTATAAGAAAGAACTAAGCATTGAAAAGTGTATACCTGGTTCCCACAACTTCACTGTGCCATCAGACGATGAAGAAACCAAACGATTGTCAGAAGAATGGTAAGCGATAGACCAAATTGCGTCTTTATGGCCACACAAGCGTTCAGTTAGTACTTTGGGATCTATAAAGCATAATGTATCAAATCTGATTACAAGTGATAAACTTCTATTTTAATTAATACTCTAATGAGAACAGAAGACGCGGAGTTGCGCAGTGGTTAATGATTGTCAATTAGGAAGCAGAAGCGCTAGTTCGACCCTCAATCCACGTGGAAACGCTCCAGCCCGGGTATCCCTACGATTGTAAGAAGAATCTACTTGACCAGCACTCTACGAGATTCCTAAAGAAGACAAATCCCGAAGCGGCAGCAGAAGCAACACAAGGGAAACGAGTCGAATGCAAGTGATGGGATCCACACAGTAGATGTGATGAAGGATAATGTAGAATAAAAAAGAGGACAATTTCATGACCTACCGTAAGCCTCATATGGATCGCTGGTCGTGCTGGGTACGTTCCAACAACAAATAACTCCATCCCTTCCACCTAAAAAAATCACAAGTACAATAAATCACTTCTTTCATTGGAAATAATTCACACATTAGTATGAACGAAAATTGATTTCAATGCACATATGGTAGGTCGTTTCGCAGAAACAACTCTGATTTCAGTAAATTTCTTCATGATTACTCCTTTTTTAGCAAACTTCTTTGCAATACCTTTCGCATTAAACAGACATCTTTAATATTCACCAGGTATTGACTTAGGCATAATATATAAAAGACTAGACAGAAAAAGATATTTATTAAACACTCGTTCATTAATAAGTTTTTACAGAGTGTATTTTGGTAGTTGATATAGTTAACCTTTATTACACAGAAACCTTCATAAAAGTGCTAAATTCTGCGTTCAAAAAACCTCCTCAGAATTCATCAATACAATTATGAATTTATTTGATACTACATTCACCCTATACAGGAAATAATTAATTGATGTATGCTATTACAAAAGTGGAAAGAAAAACAGGAAGAGCAACGACTTGAAGATAACTCAAATACATTCGAATCATTAACTCATCATTACAATCTTTTGTATATTTTCGCAGTGAATCTTCGACTCGTTAACAAAACATATTTGAAAGCCATTATTCAATCATGTATTTAAGCACCGAAAAAATGGTTAACATACCAACTGCATGTTCTCTAGAAGTGCGACGCTAACTGATCGTTTTTTTTTTCTCCACAAGCAGCATTAACTGGCTATAGCCATCTATACTTTGCCGTCCTCATAAGTTTGGAGAAAATGTCGCGTCACCAGTAGGTTCTGCCCGCTATAGGGACTCGTTGGACATCATATCCTTCTCGTAGGCACTTCGTGAAAAACTCTAACCGCCTGGTAAATGACATTCCTGTTATGCGTATGACATCCCGAGAAATCCAGTAGCTAACTATTATTGTCCATCGGTTGTTGTCCATACGATTTACGTGTCTAGCAGATCATATCTTTAAGAAAGAACGGCGTCCTCGACTTTTGACCCTTCACGTAGATCGGAACCTCGCATCCCTTCCTTCACTTGCATGATACAGGACACTCCTACCATCGTTTCGACTGCGCGACCTATAACGCTGAGTGATCTTTCATCTTGCTTACGTAGTGACCAGGTTTCTGATAACACCGGCATACGTTAACGCAGAAAGAAAAAGAACCGTAAAGTTGAGAATGTGGGCATGGAGTCGGGCGTTCTTTGTTCTCTCTACTACATCCTCTACGCTCATGAAGGCTCCCTAAATCGCTTGCTTCTTCTTGCTCAACTCTGGAGCTAAGTCATTCACCATTTTGACCTCTCGATGTATTCCATCAGCAAAGTAAAGATGTTGTGAACACTGACCTTCGATTTTCACTTTCATGTTGTCCCATTCCTGTGTTCACACGAAGTTATCGCGGGTGGCGGTAAACAATTTTGGTGAGATTGTATCCCATTGCGTAGCTCCTCTTTTGACCATAATGTTAATATCGTTGTAGAATGGCTTCTATCTTCTATCTTCTACAAAAATATCTTGGTTGCTTTTCTTCTTCTTTTTTTTTTTTTAAAAATTCTACAGATCTCATGAAGGATCTTGGTGACGCCCAAGTTGTCCACGGTCCACTTCCCTAACTGCTTCTATCTAGACTAGGTCAAATGCTTTCCTTAAATCGATGAAAGTGAGATAGAGCGATCTCGTGTAACCTAGCGATATTCCGAATAGTCTTGTTATCGTGTAGATGTGGTCAACGTGTTGAATTTTTTTCGAAACCCTGCTTGCTCACACAGCTGTCCTTAGTCCAGTATTTTCTCATTCCTGTTTAGAATGACCCGAATAAGTTTGTAGACGACATTCGGTAAGCAGAATGTACCGTTTGAACGGTAACGTCTGAACAGTAGAGCCAGTGTGTTTGCGACGACTGGCAGACTTCAGGTGTTCGGATCATATCGTGTTCGGACCTGGTGTTATTTGATTCTTGCCGACGAAATAGCACGTAGGATTTCGTAAGGGAGACATCAGATATCATATGTGTCAAAGACATCATTACATGAAAGTAATCTTTTTACATCCGTTTTAGCATCACTATACCACTCTCTTTCTGTAGGGCCTTTCCCTTCTTGGGAATGTGCTAGTGGACCGGTTTAAATGTCTTTTGCTTTTCCTGTAAGTGACCATAGCATAAATATTCCCCTGGTTCAATTTCTTCTCTCATGATAAACTTAAACACTATGTTACCTCAAAAAATGTTTTCGTTTATCCAGAAAACTGAACACAAGGCTCATGAGCAATAATTCAGTAATATCCAAGTTGATACCGCTGTGGCGCCTCCAACGGAATGTATGAGCGGAATGAGACTCTCGGTCTAACAACCATGGAGTTCTCATCAATACTACGTTTTTAGATGGAGCCAAAGGATGCCTGTAGCTCAGTTGTTAAAGGTGCTCCGCAGTGCACATATTATCATGGGTTTCATCCCCTATCCCGGACTCAGTAGACCTTCCATACCTCTGAGGTCGAAAAATTGGTAGCAGATCTGACTAACACAAAACCCACATATAAAATCATCGCATGTTTCTGAAGAAATTTGGCTTGTTCAACCGCTTTACTGCTCGAAATACAATCGTTGAGGAAATGAAACAAACCATAAACGAAGAACTTCATAATGGTAGAGCAAAAAACTTGTACTTCTGATAACTATTTGCAACAACCAAGGCCACATCCCCACTTCCATGGAATTCTATACTCCTCTCATATACAGCATTACTAGTCGATAGCGTGCACACAATATCAAACTGAAGACAACTAAAGTACATTTGAAGCTTTAACTGATTCGCCACGACTACCTGTACAGCACTGTTGTTTTTTGTTGATACAGATCTGTATATCGTAACATTTTTAAACTGAATTAATAAAGTTTGATGATGTACTGTTTTCCAACAGCTGATCCTCCATGATCTCTAGGTAGGTCACCACAACACTTACGGAGTTGACAAGTATACAGACTTAATAAAAGGAATTCTTCGTATTTTTGTTGAGCAAACGCGAGGTGTTATCATTCTTTACTCACGAATGAGCTGACGTTTCGGCGGATTTCGCCTTCCTCAGAGCCGCTTTCTATGAGGTCTCCACTAAGTATGTCACGTAGAGACCAACCGCACAGAAATCACATGGAAGTATAATGTGTACACAGTACAGTAATGTACAGTAATGTGAACAGTAAATAGTAAGTAATGTTAAGTAATGTAAGTAATAGCAATAGTTAGTTAGTAATGTGTACAGTATAATGTGTGTGTTACACATTATACATGTGATTTCTGTGCGGTTGGTCTCTACGTGACATACTTAGTGGAGACCTCATAGAAAGCGGCTCTGAGGAAGGCGAAATCCGCCGAAACGTCAGCTCATTCGTGAATAAAGAATAATAACACCTCGCGTTTGCTCAACAAAAATACGAAGAATTACTTGATCAATGCCGAGGTTAATAGAAAGTCGGTCGTGGCAGTTACAAAAAGGAGTTTGCTTAGTCGTCTTACCAGTACATATAATTTTTTTTGCAAAACAAAGTTCAAATTTTAATACGCACTTAGATTTCTAAGCTTTCCAACGCAAGCGTGACGGTAGGAAACACCATTGCAACACCCACGAAAATATAAGTCATATGAGTTATAAATGGCTAAAAATAATTAATGGAAATATAAGGCGAAAAAGATCAAGCGTGCATTCCACTAACTTTAACCTATCCTCTAGGACTGTGTCATATGTGCTCACAAAAAACGTACTACATAACCAGGTATCGTAGAGGTCACGGATGCATATTTGGCAATACAATGACTAGAGGTGGAATACAACAAAGTATCAAGGTAGGATCTTCTATGTTTCTAGACTAGTTCGGTGCCAAATCGCCTACCCGAAAATGAGGGTGGACTTAATTAGCTCTGGTCGTAGATTCGAACCAATAAATAAAAGCTATTAACGTACAGGTCTTTAATAACCAAAAGTAGTTTCTAACTTTCCTACGACAAATTCCAATTTTGGGAAACCCATGACTTCTTCTTGGTGTTGGGACGTGTATCTTGGGCAGCGAAGCGAGTGGAGAAGAGGGATCTCATCCAGCTTAATGTGATTTTTCCTCGAGAAAAATGCACAGATAATAATTTCGATTAACACACATTCGTTAGAAAGTTCAAGCACTTTCTAGAGCTTTTCTATTTGACATCACATAAGAGGTTTCATCAAAATTTGAGTTCCGTGTTAATAAGGGCTTAACCTCGTCTATAAGCCTTTCATGCTTTCAAATACTAATGTATTTTAGTCACCGAACAATCTGGACATTTGCAAATTTGCTGATCTCAGTGAACTACTTCAAGGACCCAAAAATTCCAAAAATGAGTTTTACCAATTCTACCAAAAGTATATTCTCCCGAAAACACTATAAGAAAGCTAGGTACCCATGAATTCAGCAAATGATGAAAAAGAAAAACCTGTAAACAGATGATCTCCGGTAGGTGAAAGATCCATACAAAGCACAGGACCTAGATGGCCACGGAAAGTATATACAGGTTCGATATCAGCTCCACTTCCTTAATAGAAGAGTTAGTGAGACATAACAAGCACAGGACACTAAAAACGAATAAACACAGAAGATGAACATCATTTGAACAACAACAGTACCTGACTTGTCTTTACCTCCATCAAGATTCCAAAGTTTTGCAGTACCATCTTCCCCTGCAGTGATCAAGACGGGTTGGACAGGGTGGAACTAAAAAGCATAATGAGTCAACTAGGATAAAAAAACCATTTGAGACCATTTATATCAAATGGTTATCAACATAAGATGTGGAGAAATAATGGGACCTGCATAGCTCGAATTGCGTCCAGATGTGAGCGTAAAGTCATCTTCACAGTCCACTTTGCAGCACGAAGGGATTCCTCATCATCCTGTGAAAAAAAAGAAATATCTAAAAGTTGATTTCACAAATGTACTTAACCAGAACAGCTATTTTTTATTGTTTCTAAATAAAATTACAAATTCTACACAGCTAATCCTCCCAACACGCGGAAGGTACACAAAACTATCTCTCAAAACAGCGAAATCCTCTGAATGCCAACCAGAATAACGATATAAAGGATAAAGGGTTAAAGTTCTTGGCGTTGGTCAATCCTTCATAGACGCGCCATGCATTCGACTTCATTAAGATCGTTGGAAGTGAATGAATGCATATCTGGCCTTTACGATGACTCGCGGTGGCGTACCGATCTATTGGGCCAGTGCTGCTATTCTTCGAGACAAGTCTGGTAGCAATTCACTGACCCCAGAGGGATAGAAGGCTGGTGGGCCAAGGGCGCAGAGTTCGATCCAGTGTGTGCGTGTGTTACAGGGCGCCTCCGACCGCTGCGCCATGCAATCCCTTGAATAACAGAGAATCCTATCTAAAACAGGACTTCATCATCTCACCAAGGATGACACCTACAATAACATAACCCCAACTGTTTGCTCACTATAATATAACCAATGAATGGTTTAAAGGATGCAATTTACTCTTCTTAAAAAATAAGTTAAATTCAAAATTTTAAACTTAATTGGTAATAGTAATGGTACCAAACACTTGAAAGATGTCAAATAAGAAACAGAGATATCAAACAACCTGCTCATAACTTAAAGGTAATGTGGCACTAACTTCGATAATGAAATCATCTTTAATGTCAATATTCTCGTCAGGTGCTAATCCGAGTGCATCGTTGATGTCCATGAATTCTCCTCGTTTTCCTCGAACTCCTGCCGCCGGATTACCACCGACGGAACTTACAGAAGAAATGGTATCGTCTAAAAACTAATTCGCGATTCGATGGTATCACAAAGAACTTGATGATTTTATTGATTAATGAGCGATCACTATAAATCAATATTACTGGTCAAGAGCCAAACGTACTTAAATTTTGCCTCTTGTCGTCCGGATCGTCAATGTTTCCAGGATTTCTCTTAGTGCGTTTAGAACTTCTGAAAGATAGTGATGCACAACATGAGCGAAAAAAATAATCAGTAATTTACACATACTTGTACTTTTCTTTTAAGCGATCAAACGCATTCTGATCAACCGCAGCCCAGTCATCACATCCCGTACCACCACCAGAGGACTGTTCGTGAAGAAAATCGAACTTTTCCAGAGCTTCTGCGGCTTCTGAGTCCAACCCAACTCTTGGTATGTCATGTTCGTCAGGTTCGGAGTCGCTGAACAGGGTTTCATGGAAGCAAAACCTAATAAAACTCAATATGACACTACTACGGTTTACCTCATTTCATAGAATGGTAACCATGACAGGTGATCACATGGGGTATATAAGCATATATAATAAAAAGAACACGAAGTTCTACATAAAACAATGAATGCTACAGCTCACCGCGCGCAAATTATTTATACATTCAGGCCTACTCAAAGTGGAAAACGGACAGTAATCGGAATACCGTGAAAGGCGCAAAAAAATAACTGTAATCGATCGGCCTCTTCCACCAAATAATAGGTTACGAAACATTTTCTTCATATATACACGTATATATACATACATATATGTATGCATATATATGTACATGTATATGAGGTGTTATGTATTATACAAGCCTATAAATACATATACATGCATATATACGTGACCCATCATCAAATGTACTATGCGGATCTCAGCACTTCTTGATTCATTTCCTCATCCAACATCCACGATTGTCTTCGAACATTTTGCGTATTGTTTCAAATGATGATTTCATCTTCTTTATCAATATCGCAGAATGCTGGGTGAGTCGACTGTTCTTGAAATCTTGGAGATGGTCGGAATAAGGTGCTCCCACGTAGGTTGGACTTGCTTTCTGATCGATGGCATCACTAACCACTGCGCCACCCTTCCTACATGTATACAAATACATATACATGTGTGCATATATTTATACATGGGTATTTTTCGGACCCAAACACCTCCCGTATTTGGATGCTCATCCAGTTTCCATCATTAGCGACCCCATAGTTTTGCGTGTGGGTTCAGCCGCTGATCAAAGATGTTTCGTTTTGGAGATCTGTCCGATCTTAACTACAGGCGGTCCCTGGCTGTTTCCGATAAGGATCTTTGCTTAAACAAGTCTGCTATCTATTTGACAACACCAAAAATATAGAGCTCTGATTAGCCCGAAGGGGGTACGAGTGTCGAAACAATGACCACGAGTGTTATACGTATCTACCCACATCGTTTCCCGCGCCCCTGAGGAAGACGATTCGGTTGTACAACACAGTCACAACTGAACAGTGAAAAATTTGCGAATAAATCGATCCATCATTCACATTTGGTCCAAATCCATATGTCGGTGGTACTAACTAAAATTCAAATGGAAGCCTATCCAAAACTGGCACCTGTCGTATGAGCCGGAGATGTCACTTTATAGCAGCTAATTACAAATGAACAAACAATTACCTATCCAATTCCTTCTTATGCCCAGTAGAATCTTTCCCCGAAACACGCTCATTTGATGGCCAATCACCCTAAATCAATGCCTTGCATGAGTTCTGAACGAAATTTAGAATCATTTGGAAACAGAAATTGTCTCACAAAATGAAGAAATCGTATTTAAGTACTGAAAGTCTTCGCGTATAATATTCAACAAACAATATTTAGCAGATAATTCAAATGCCACACAACTATTTTGATGACACTATTCATTTTCACAGAGGGATTTAGGATTGACACAGTAAAAGTGTTATTCTCACAATTACTAAACCACTTTTATCTTTACCTCCGAAATAGATAGGAAGTATCAGAAAGCAAACCTGGGGAATCAATCCTAAAAGATTTTTGACACGGAAAGAGCGCACATCAAGTATCTGTTCGCTGTAACCAATCTCCTAAACAAACGATATATATATATATACATGTATACATATGTATACACATATGTAACCATGTATGTAAACATATATATACATGTATACACATACTACGTATGTATGCATATATGCAATTGTATATACATTTATACGCATACATGACTATGTATATATAGCTATAAATGAGTTCACACGGAAATGTATATAAACAAATGCGGATTTGTAGATATAAATCAGTGTGTATATACATAAGTATACAAACCCGCACGTATATTCGTATATATATTATATCAGGTAGTCCTCCCCAAAATAACACAACATGGCACACAAGTTGGATACAGAAAAAAAGACCTGTAAATATTGTTTCAGCAGCTGTCGACCTTGTTTCCATCCCAGAGCACTCCCTCCTTCGGTAGCATATGCATCTACTTCTGTTGGAGCAACAGCTTCTATAAACCGGACTTAAAACTAAAAATCGTAAAGGAATTATATATGAATGCTAGCTAAGATACCATTTGCGCTCTCATTTTCTGTCTCCTCATATTCTGGTGGATCTTCACCATTATGAGTAAGGCGATAATTTTTAGCTCTAAAAAACGGACAAATTGGTTGCGAAATATTAGGTGAAATGCTGATACAGTAAATGATTAACAGCCACCCAACACACCTCTCTTGCTTGATACAATACTCAAGCATCTTTATTCGTCTGATAAGATCGGCTTTAAGATTTTCCTGTCCTTTTCTCTCTCCTTGCAGAAAACTTATACGAGCCTAATCAAAACAAGGCAAATAGTAATCAAATCACGCTAATCGCTGCTTAAAACATGGAATATCTAATCACATACTTGCATTTCAGCCCTTTCCATTTCCCACTTAGCCTTCTCCATCTCATATTTACTCCACTCATGCTGTAAGAAGTGAAGAACGCCATGCATAGTGTAAGGTGGACGACGGCTCTGAAACATTGTAAATGTCTTAAGAAACCTTGAATTTGGTTTAACAGAATATGTTAATTAACAAAAGATAACCGTAAGTGCTAAATTGCTAAAATACTATCTATCAATGCGGGCACCTTTCATTTACTGTCTATTCTTTCTTAATGGCAAGGTATTATATGAAATATAACCATAATGATGCCGAGATATTTGACTCCTATAACTTCCTATGACTCCTATATAACTTCAGACCACAGGTGTCTGCGATGGAGAACGAACGCGCTATTGTCCTTTCCAGGGAGTAACGCATTCACCACCACACCATGCGGATCCTTCGTTTCGCCTGTCTCTCAGCTATTTCTTTTGATCAGTGCCATCAGCAATCACCCGTCAACGGGAATGATCTCGGGAGCGCAAGTCGGTGCTGAACCCAATTAAGATGGAGTTTTGGCACAAATCAATGTCGTCACTTTTTATCTATTGCCTATTCTTTGTTAGTGGAAAGGTGTTATGTGAAATAAAAGCGGTTTGCTGAGAGCACCTATAGGTGAAAACACGGCTGCGAGAAAGGCGAAACGAAGAAGCCGCGTGGTGCGGTGGTGAACACGATACACCCGAAAAGAGTAACAACCGGTTGGGTTCCCACCGCAGACAAAAGCGGCCCGTAGTTTTGCAAATATCTCACCAACATCCTGGTTACTATCGACCAATATTCATGTCTTTTATAAAATAAAGAATATATCTTCCAATTCAATAAACAGTGCAATGGTATACCTCGTAAAATCTTTGATTGCAGAACAGTAATCACAATGAATAGTTTCTTAAAAATTAGCTCCATGTTTTGTTTTTGTACACACATTTGTCTACACGGATATATACATATTACAGATAAAAAAGAATAAAAGATAAAGCTCTCAGCGTAAATCGATCGCTGAGGGATGGCCATGAATTCGACTTCACTAAGCATCGTTGGAGGTGACTGAATGTAGATTTGTCCTTTACAATGACTCGTGGTGGCCTACCAATACATCGAGCCAGTGCTGCTATCCTCTCAGACAAGTTTGGCACCAATTTGCCGACACAAGAGGGGTGGAGGGTTTGGTGAGCCTGAGGCGCGGGGATCGATCTCACATGTGTTGTACGGCGCCTCTGACCACTGTGCCACATGGGCTCCTTTCACATTATAGATATACAAATATATAATACAATGCGACCTTATCTATGTACACGTATATGAGTATATATACATATATTTACGAGTGTATATAAGTACGTGGTACATGCAGGTATACACACATAATTTGTATAAAAAAGCTTCAAATTGTTACAAACAACAGCAGAAAACTAGAACAGCAAGACGTCATGTATGTATTGAACAAAGAATATAACAACGACCTCAAGTCTGTTTACGAAGAAAACATTAGAAAATCAGCCTTCACACAAATCACCTGCTCATCTTTTTGTTCGCCTTGTTGTTGTTGTGCTAGTCCATTGCCCAACTGACCTTCGTCAGCCATACCAACTACCATCTCAAACTTGGCCGACCAAAATAGGCTTAGTTTCGGGGCACCTAAAAATGCCAAAGTACTCCGCGAACGGAATGACACAGGGTATAACACGATTAAAACGAATCTTTATGGAAATAAACGACAAATCGAAGATATAATGAAATTAAAGCAGATAAAGACTGAAAAAGTTGAATAACATGAGCTCTCACATATCAATAAGGCCCAAGACTTGGAAGAGCAACGAAGGTTTATAAAAGTAAACGACGGATTGCATACAGTGCATAGAGTTGAACAAAAAAGATTTCAATAAGACTGATAGTTAGAAGACATAAGAGATTGAAAACAAATACAGACCGAAGAAGTCAAACGACGTGAGCCTAGGCCTTAAGGCCACCACCTGGAAGAACTAGAAAAAAACCTAGGTGATGAAGTACTTCGGATGTAACATGTATTGTAATAGGAGCACCTGTATACATCCAAAATGAAGACAAAAACAGGAAACATGGATATCCAGAAAGCCGACCAGGAAGTGCACCTCAGTGGGAATGGATCCGATTCCCCTTCGAATGTATGTTGCCGTTGAAAGGGCAAGTTCTTGCTATAGAGCACGGCGTGCTCAACAGATCCGTTGCAGAACTGCATCCAATTTTAAGTACTCTTGACGCGTTACCTTGTATTACCAACACACGCAATGTTATTATATAAGTAGCTGTATACCGTATTTAAAGTATGTTTGGTTTATGGGCATTACAGATAATTCTACTTTTCATCACCATTTTATTTTTCGTTGTTCTTTGATATGTCGCCACGTTACCCGTTGCTATGTTTTTAAAAGTTTTGTTTTGTATCTATAATACAACCAAGTCTACTTTTATGAATATTAAATATAACACAAAACATCTCCAAACGTTTTACCGCTTCATTATGGCTGGGAGGTGTTCCTGGGTGTTGGATTGTTATGTTGTACAGCAGGTGGTGTTCATTCCCCCAACAAGGCCTCCTAAGCTGAGAAGGAGTTCGGCGTTTCCATCAAGAAGCCCATATAAGATCAAACCAGTATCGGGATCCACCACCGTCGTGGTATCAAACTAGTCGCATGATGGCAAATCTCCCTGATCTACGAGGGCTGCGAGTGCCTGTGGTGGTGAAGACCTGCAGCAGACTTTGGCCAGGCTGACCTCGAGAACGAACGCGCTATTGTCCTTTTCGGGGAGTAACGCGTTCACCACCACACCCTGCGAGTCCTTCGTCTCGCCTGTATCTTAGCTAGTTTTATCGATCTGTCCCGTCAGCAATCACCCGTCAACGGGATTGATTTGGGGAGCCCACATCGGCATTGAACCAAGTTAAGCTGAGGCTGTAGTTGAATTCACAATGTTTACTTTTTTATTTCCTGCCTTTCACTCGCATGGTGTGGTGAACGCGTTACTCCCCGAAAAGGACAATAGCGCGTTCGTTTCCTACCGCAGACACCTGCGGTCCGGAGTTTTGCAAATATCTCAGCAATCTTGTGGTTGTATTTCGCTTAGTACCCTGTCATAAAAATAATAAAAGGCAGAAAATAAAAAGGTAAACATTGTAACACAAAACTGTTTTAATTTCGGTGGCTGCTCATTCTATTCATATGAATGCAGTTTTGCAAGGTGTGACTCGTCACATTAAACTTAGCTATGAAGTTTTCTAAGTTCTAATATGGTCTGAACAATCTTTGAGTACTGGTAGAGCAGCAGTAGTACCTTAGTTAAGAATTTTTAGTGGCATTATATCGAGGAAACTACAGGTAAATTCCTAAGCTGTCTATTCTCTTACGTTTTGGTTTAACTCGGAAACACTTTGCCTTATCGTCGTTTGCGATGTTATCATTGGATTTTATGAAAAATTTCCATTCCTGAGAAAGATTTTTTGTCAGTGGAACAATTGCTGCTTCGTGGTGTACTTTCGTCCAACGGAGTTACTTCACATTTACTACGCAACTACCATCTGCTGTCGGTCCTGCTCGCAGTCGTGGTGGCGGCCCTGCCCTCTTCCCATTCAATATGGTTGGCCAGATCGGTACTCATGATGGAAAATTTCACTGTGATGAGGCGTTTGCTTGTTACATGATAAAACGATTGGATGAATTCAGGGACCATACGATCGTAAGGTTCGCAGCATGAAATTCTTCACAGTGTTTTCATAGTCTGGATTTTTTATTTTTATTTTTTGTTTTTTTGTGGCTGTAATAGTTAGAGAAGCAATGCCTCAATATTCTTGCTCCTTATCGTCCATTCTCCCAATGGCTTACCGCCTCATCGTGGCTGGGTGTTCTTGGATGGTGATGTACAGCGGATGAATTCACCACCCAGTAGGGTTTCCCAAGCTGGAAAAGAGTCCGGCGTTTCCATCAGAAAACCTAGCTAAGGGTAACCCAATACCAGGATCCACCACCGTCCTGGTATCAAAGTGTCAAACTGGTATCAAATTAGTCACATGGTGGCAAATCTCCCTCTGATCCACATGGACGGCCACTGCTTGTGGTGGTGACGACCTGGCGCAGACTTTGGCTAGACTGACCTCGGGACTCCGGGGAAACACAATGGCTAAACCAGCAAAACTCAGAAAAAGTGAGAATTGTGCTGAGGTCTAGTGGAGAACAACTAGTGAAGACGGGCAATCCAAGTACCAAACATCAAGGTACTTTTTCAGAACACGTGATTTATCAGTACTTGAGAAATGCCGTATTGTTGTTGATGTGGGAGGTGAATACGATCACTTGAGGAAACGTTATGACCATCATCAGAGGTTGGCTGTTTATTCACTGCTGACTAACTCTTAGTTTTAGTTTATATCATTTTTACATCAAAGGACGAGTAGCGGACTCTGCAATCGTAAAATTGGTACCAGGGTGTCTGGGGGGATAGCAACTTACTCGATACATCGGAAGGTCGCCACGAGACATTGTATTGGCCATGTATGTATTCTGTCACATTTAGCGATGCTTAAATAATGAAGGTTAGAGCTCTTGGGGTCATGAATGAGAGATGCACCATGCATTCGACTTCATTAAGCATCTTTGGAGGTAACTGAAAGCATATCTTGTCTTTAAAATGATTCACGGTAGCCTATCGATGTGTTGCACAAGTGCTGCTATCCTCCTGAGCAACTCGTGCCAAATTGCAAACCCCGGAGGGATGGAAGGCGTCGTGAGCTTAGAGCGCATCGATAGACCCGATGTGTGTTGCGGGGCACCTCCGACAAGTGCGTTACGCGCGCCCCTTAACAATACTTAGTGAAGTCGAATGCATGGCGCACCCTTCAAGGATTGGTTAATGCGTAGAGCTTTATTCTTTATTTTTATTTGCTTACCTTGATGTTCTCCGTCGTAACTTTCAAACATAAGTATTTAAATGGTTTTCTCCTGTGGGAATTTCAGGATCTAGGTTGGGGTTGTGAAACGAAGAAAAAAGAGTGGAGTAGGTTACAATTTTCTCTTTAGAGCTTTTATTATCTCCATCGAAGCAGCGCAAACTGTTTGATAGATGTCATTGTCGTTGTTAATATTATGAAAAATGAAAATAAGCGCTTTCAAATTACCGGAGAATGTCAGGAAACCATATGTTTTGGGCAACAAACACTGCGACAATTGAAAATTTCGTCCGTATGAGAGTTGACCAATAAAACATTTGTATACATTAATACAGAACATGAATTGATTTTAGGCAGTTTAATGAAACTATGCAAACGTTAGGTGTACTGGATTTCAACACAAAGTTAAGTTCAGCAGGATTAGTTTATGCTCACTATGGAAAGCAGTTAATCGCTGAGGTGATTGTCTTTAATTCCTGTGTTGTCCGTTCAAAAAGGATTTTGTTCACATAATGTTTCTGGTATATGATGAACGTTAGCAAATATACCAACCGACAATGTGGATTTACCCTGTGTAATAATGCTATGGGCTCGTGTAGCGAAGTGGTCCGAGGCGCCTTGGAATACACATGGGGTCGATCTCCGTGCTCCAGGCTCACCAAGTCTTCCATTCCGTTGGGGTCGGGAAATTGGTACCAGACTTGCCTAGGAGGATAGCAACACTCTGCCGACACATCGGTAGGCCACCGCGAGTCATTGTAAAGGTCAGATATGCATTCAGTCACCTCTAACGATGCTTAATGAAGTCGAATGCATGGTGCATCCCTAGAATACTGCTAAGCTGTAGAAAAAGCTCTTCTTCCTCACTAGGTCGCAGGTCAATATCCTTTCATGACTCAAACCACAAATCTGCATTTTTAGCGTGGCATCAATATAATAACATTCTTTCAGATTCTTGGTTCATCACATGAGGATAAACTTGTGGGTATTCTCTATAGGAAAATTTACGAATCTTTTGTTGAGGCAATAGATGCTATCGATAACGGCATCCCACAGTATGATGGTATCCCAAGGTATTAAGACTTTTGAACGTATCTACTAATGAGCATTCGTAAGACTTGAGTATTAGGTACTACATGCATGGTGGACTTTCTGAGCGAGTTGGATTTCTCAATCCACATTGGAATGAAGTAAACGTCAATCCGGATGAGCGCTTTCAGCAAGCCATGGAACTTGTTGGAGGTTTTAGCCAAACTTAATGTCTATAGTTCTTTGTTGTAGGCTTTTTAAAGCATCTTGGGAGGATTCCACCACTTTGGCAGAAGTGCTGTTTACATAACTACCTTTGTATTGATTTATTTCGTTTTCAATTGTAGAACGGTGTTAAGGTGAGTTTGAGTCCACAGTTACATACCTAGCCAATGTTTGGTGGCCAGCTCGAGAAATTGTTGAGAAGGCTGTGGATGATTCTCTACAGGTGATTCTTTTTGCTTTCCTCTAGTCGCCCTTGTGTTCTTATGTAAAAGTTGCGTATCTCATTAATCCCAGACTCGACTTAAGGTCGACTCAAGTGGGAGAATTGTCCTGCTTACTCCTTCTTCCGTTCCCTGGAAAGAACACTTATTCCAAATTGAAGAAGAGAAGAACTTGAGTTCGAGAAAGATCACTTACCTAGTTTATGAGGGTGAGAACTTACCACGTTACTACCATGCGTAGACGTTTTAACACAGAATTTTTAGTGCTGATGTGTTCATGATATGGGTGTTAATTTTTTCACTTCCAAATTTGTCTAGACTCCACGTCGAAGAGTTACCGATTACAAGCCGTTCCAAAAGACAAGTTCTCAACGTTTGAAAGTAGGTTAGTGGCATTACTTCGTGGGATTTGCCGCCATTTTACCAATTTATTTCGCTGCCAACTCAGCAGCAGATTTAGTCCTGTCCCTAACTTCGTTTTTTAATGTGAAAGCGATTTGAGTTCGTTTAATATTTAGGTTACACCTTTTATTTACACCGGCTCAACAATTTTCTTGTTCATGTGAAGGAAAAAGTATAACTTTAAAGTGCTTTTGGCTTGTGATTCACTGATTGAAATCCTTGAATGTTCTGTCTAAAAAAATCGTTCCTAAGACCAGATTTCGTACGAGTTAACTGAGACGACTGTATATGCTTTATTAGTCAATTGTATCCATGTGTGGCACGTGTAGTGCAGTGGTGGGAGACGCGCTGGAATACACTTGAGTTCGATTACCGTGCCCTGGGCTCACCAAGCTCTCCATCTTTCCGAGGTCGGAAAATTGATACCAGACTTCTCTGGGAGTATAGCAGCACTAACGCGATACATCGGTGAGCTAGCGCGAGTCATTGTAAAGGCCATATATGCATTCTGTCATCTTCAACGATACTTGATGAAGTTTAATGCATGGCGCATTCCTCAGGGATTGGTCAACGCCGAGAACTTTATCCTTTTTCTATTTATCCATGCATGAATATGGTTGTTTGGCGTGGATATCGACCACGTCCGATTATTTTGTGTGGCCTATTTGGATGGGAAAATTCATTTGGAGTCAAGTTCACTGTTCTTCTTGTTCTTATGTAAACTCTATTCATAGCATTATCAATGGATCGCTTCGCTTCATATTTAAGTATATATATACACACATTTGCTAAGGTCGCCAAAGCTAGATATTTGTGAAAGTTCTTGAAATTCGGTCTTCTTAATATGAGTGGATCTATTTAGAAAGTTATCGCTTCGGTACTTTGTTGACATTGTATGTAACATATATGAGCTGCCACCTTCCGCAATCAGTGTACTGTCGTGCTCAAGTATTTATGCTATCCAACAGATGTTTTTGTTTGATATAGCTTTTTTTCAGAATCTGACTTAAGTAAGTTAGTTGACTCTATCTAAAGTCGTTGATATGTATAAGAATGCGTTACTTTTGATTCTAAGGTTCTTCTGCCGTAAAATCATTAATGCAGGTAATGGTAATAGGAGAGGAGTATGTACCGCAATAGTTGAAGGTATTTGTATATTGATATACTATATGTATTGATATTGAAGGTACGTGATAGAGGAGGTACACCCTGTGGTCGTTGGTAAAATCCTAACTAAGCTTCGCATTACATCAATGTTCGAGAATTTCTATGTCTGAGAGGAAAAAAATTTTATACATCGATAGGCCTTTGCAAGTCCTTGTTGAGACCAGATATGCATTCAATCATCTACAGTATTTAATGGAATCGAATACACGGCGCATCTTTCGGCAGTTTGTCATTGTGAGATGCTTTATCTTTTATGATGGCAGAAGTTTTCAGGAAGAGGTCATCTGCAATATTTTAGGGTACGATCTCTGGACTGTCTTGACCTCTGTCGACAGGAAACATTCGTTGACAGAAAAGTTTAACATGCTGCCATGACTGCGTTCCGATGATGCAACACTTTTTGAATTGAATTACTTTCAAATGCCCTATTGAGATGTTCTCATTAAAAGAGTGAAATACTGATTGAAGTGACAAGGAAGATAAAACGGAAAGCAAACCAGGAACACAGTTCAGCAGTCATAGGCGGCCGTCTGTTATTCGGAAATTTAGGGTAGAAACATCTGGAGTTTTCCACATATTACGACTTTCATAGATCGCAAAGTATTCTTTGAAGTTGTTAAAGGACTATCTGCGTTCTTGCAAACAGTTTTTATGCGTCTATTTCAGAATACCTCTTCCTAAAACATGGCGTGGATTAAGAGGTGCAGAGTTGTCAGGTGTTGCAGGGATACCTGGTTGCATTTTTGTCCATGCTAATGGTAATTTTCTTCTGTTAATATTAGAAACTGTAGAAGTAAAAGCCTCACCTTAACCTTCGTTACCGATTTGAGGCCACCAGATCAATCTCGTAGAGGGGTGATTGCTGATGACATTGATCGATAAAAGTAGCTGAGAGATAGGCGAAACAAAGGACCTGCATGGTGTGGTGGTGAACGCGTTATCCTCCGGAAAGGGCAAAAGGAAAGCACGTTCGTTCCCCACCACATACACATGCGGTCTGGAGTTTCGCAGATATCTCAACCCCATTGTGGTCGCGTCGTACATAATATCATGCCGTCAAAAAAGGTAGTAGGCAGTAAATAAAAAAGTCAACCTTATGGAACTAAAATCTAAGTGCTTCGTACGATATTTTACTACTTTTTTGTTGCAGGTTTACGATTTAATTATTTTGTATTCGAATTTGGCTTCCAGGATTCATTGGTGGTAATCAAACTTTTGAAGGCGTTCTAACTATGGCAAGGAAAGCTATTAACATCGGCGATGCAGAGGTCAGTGTTTTAGTCAATTATGAATAGTATTCGTAGTGGCGGTGGTTGTATGTCAAATTTTGGAAAAATGGTACTTCATAGATACCCACAACCATGCTAACATATTCGCGAAACTTACACTCCGGGCAAAATCGAACCACAGCTACCCTTTGCGAGGGCTTGCGTATTACACACTGCATCACGGAGGCCCTTACTCTTCGTTTCTCTCAGCTACTAGCGTTTCTCAGTTTCTTACTAACACTATAATCAGCAGTCACCCGTCAGTGGGATTGATCTTGGGAGCACAAGTCGGCATTGAACCTATAGGACCTATAGACATCTTTCTATATCTTCTGTGCTTTGTTTTGGAATGTATCATATAAATAGTGAGTGTTATTACCACACTTTAGAATCACAGTTTTCTTCGCGATGCGATGGGTTACACTATGATATAGTGTAGTCCATCTGAAAAATCAACGTCACTCAATGCCCACTGCATAAACGTGCTGTCTTTTGAGGCTCTGAGGAAGCCGCAATCCCCGGACACCTTAGCTTTTCCTTTAATAAAGAATAAAGTAACACCTCATATTTGCTCAACAAGAGTGTGAAGAATTATTGGACCAATGCCGAGGTTAATAGAAAGTCGTTCGTTGGAGTCCGAATTTTGTATAATTCATTGTTCTCTTGATGAGCAAACACGAGGATGTTGCATTATTTCTTATATATAAACAAGCTGACGTTTGGGCGGATTTCGCCTTCTTCAGAGCCTGGAAAGGTGAAACTGACTGCAGTCTATCCAGCCAAACACCTCCGTTACCAAGCAGCGAAAGCAATAAACCATAATAATCATAAATATACTAACTGTACTAAAATACAAATAATTTTCAAACGGACCGTCATTTAACCTCGGTAGTATAACAGCCAGCATGTTTTTAAATTGTTGAGCCTACACGAGGTTGGTAAGCATGTTTGTTTCGGTTGTTTCGACCTTTTCGTCTTCATTAGAGCCGGTGATCCGAGTCGATGTCCCACAGTTGTTCTTCTTCTCGATGTGGCGTCTTCGTATTCCCACCGAGGCAGATCTTCTTGTTAGTGTAACACCGCACAAATGAGGCATGCTCACTCAGTAGTGCTCGTTTAACTGACCAACAAATAAAGAATAAAGTAACAGCCTCGTGTTTGCTTGCTTATCAAGGGAACAGTTATTTATGCGACCAACGGCGAAGTTAATAGAAAGTCAATCTTGGGATTGACTGCAAGTCTAGTTTGTTTTGGAAGTTATGTTGCTAGTAGGAAAGAGATTCTTTGTAATCGTGCTATTACAACAGATAGTTTTAGCGTGATGAAGAAATGGAAAATCATGCGAATATGAAGAAGAAGAGATTGAATCAGGACGAATGTCCTCCACCAGTACAGGCGTAAGACAGTCTGAGAGCTATTTTATTGTTATTGTACGGTATTCGTAGCCTTTACATTGTCGATCTACATTTGTATTTGAGTTTTTACATTATTCATTCATATGTATTTCTTAATATTTTTTCGGTAGTCAACATGACAACTGTCCCTTTGATCGTTCCTTCAGTAATTTGTTGTTTTCTTGTTCTTTAGTATTTTGCAGGTATGGTCTTATTCAACAAAATCAAAGTTCATCGTTCACAGTGGTCTGTTTCGTTCTTGTAACTTCACTATATTATTGGACATCTTATACTATATACTACTACAACGTATTAAGTTATACTGGTATATGGTGTTGTATTCATGAATTGAAGCACGATTTTAATGAAATTTCTCTACCAGCCCCTTCTAGTGGAATACGGTACTGATTTGGAAGGTGACGACCTAGTCTATCCAGTTAGTTATCTGCGTACAACTTACTGTTTAGACGTCGTTATAGTATCTAAAGTGAGGAGTGATTAGTCTGTGAGATTAGCAAATGCTTTAATTTTAGGTACTTTGCAGGAAGGACACTGTGTTCACAACTTTTGAACTTTTGAACTCTAACTCCAGGTAGTTTTATTAGAGCGAGCTTAGAAGCTCTATACCTATCACGTGGTTCCTGTTGACTTCTGGTTTGCTTCAAAATTATGTTTCGGTTTTAGTTTCTCAATTGTGAAGACGTCATAATACTATCTGTGAATGTGAATGCAATGGCGCTTGTTTTAGCTCGGTCATCTCTTCGAAACATAATTAAAAACCTCCTATCCATAGTTTCTTAGTTTCTGGAACTAACGGTTTTCTACCTTTTAGATTTTTTTTGGAGTATAATTCATAAACTATAGAAACAGATACGTTCTATGTGTGATGTGGAATCGTCTGTTATTTGATCTTAACGCTAGCTTTGCTATAATTTCACTTTTTAAGGGAAGTACCAATGAATATACCAGTTATGGGGAGGGTCAAAAACATTTTCTCATCTACCAAACATGGGGCTGGTGTAGCGCAGTTGTCGGAGGCGTCCTGCAATACACATGGGGTCGATCTCCGCGCCCCAGGCTCACCAAACCTTCCATCTCTCCGTGGTCGGCAATGTGTTACCAGACTTGCCTGGGAGGATAGCAACACTCTGCCACATCGGTCGGCTACCGCGGGTCATTGTAAAGGTCATTGTAAAAGATATGCGTTCAGTCACCTCTAACAATGCCTAGTAAAGTCGAATGCATGGCTTATCC